GTATGCTCGGCTTTCGGGCACACCATTAGCGCTCTCCTGGTATGTTACTTGGCTCGCCTGTGTTGTGGCACGGTCGTGTGTCTGCTCTGCAGGTGAGGTTGGCATGTTTGGCGCTTCTGTCGGCCATGGGCTGGTTCTCACTTTTTGGTGGGGAGCTTGCCTAGTTGTGCTTGTGGGGGTTGAGCTCTGGCTCTTGGGCCCCACCTCTCCTGTCAGTTGACAGTTGTGCAGTTTCCAGAGCCTCCTGGGCTCTGTCTTCTTTACGGTTGCTCCTGTGGGTGGAGTCTGCCTCCACCACATAGCTTCTTAGTGCTTTCTGCTTCCTTTCCTCTCTGACATTGATCGGGTTCTTTTTCGTGTCTTTTTTTTTTTTTTTTTTTTTTTTTTTTTTTTTGAGATATATACAAGAGTTGTTACATTCTTGTACTGCCACTAGTACGCATAGCGTTTCGGGCAGGTCCCTGGAATACGCCCCCGCCCCGAAGAATCGTTTTTTCATCCAAGTACACATTTTACTGTTGCGTTAAACAGAGGCTACAGTTAAGGATTTGCGCCCAGTAAATCCTCATCGGCCAGGATACGAACCCATGACATAGCGCTCGCGGAACGCCAGGCGAGTGTCTTACCACTACACCACGGAGACTGGCTGTGGCTCTGTGGCTCCTTTGGGTACTCGGCTTCCTCCTGTGTCCCCTTGTGCATACGACCATACGGACACAAGACCAGAGGAACTGCAGAGGGCCTATTGGACCGTACGAGGCAGCTCCTATTTCTTACCAACCATTCCCTCTCATATACATGTCCAACCCACTTTTGCACAAATCGTGGGGCCCCACAACCACGTTTCGCTGTAATTGGTTCCGCGAATCGCCGAACCTGTTACCGTGCCGGTCATTCCTCAGGTCTTTCCCGATTCTACGCTTATCCCTTTTATGGCCATTGTTTCGTGTCCAAAATGTACTGCAAGGGTGGCATGTGCCTCTGTCCCAGTTCTTTTGTTTCATGACGATTGGTGACAATAAACACAACCACTCAGAGGCTACATATGTTTTTTGTTGCGTATACAGTGGTATGTGGGTGTTATTTTGATGGGCAATGGTGCGAGTTCAGTGCACTGGGAGTCGGTACGGTTTCTTGCATGTGTCTGTTCTAGACCACACTTGCAGGTCGACTAGTTATTATTCACTACTCTGCTGCTTCTATGCTCGGGCAATACCTTGCCGTTCTCCAAAGGTTGGCAGGCATATTAACTGGAAGTTTGGAATGGTTTGAGTTCCATGATTGGTCCTCCGTAGAGCTTTGCTTCTCTCATTAGGTTCATGCGTTTGGAGCAAGTCTCTTATTGGGATACTCTGCTCACTCCACCACCCTTGTTCACTGCTCCATCCTTGTTTACTCTTCCCCGCTTGGCGGGATTGAGTCGATGGCTCCTAAAAGGGGTGTTTGGCGTGGTGTGTTTGGTCACTTTGCGTGGGTCTTCAGTGACTTTTGTCCCTGTCTTTTGTTCTTTGTTGTCCTGTGGGGCTCTGCCCCGCATTTCGGGGCCTTTGGTTTCGTTGTCGACACCTGGGTCTTTTCCCTCTAGGGACACTCATTCCTTGCCTAACTTCGGTGCCTGATTGCACCCTGCTGTCCATGAGGTCTGTCAGGTATGTACGCCCTCTACACAATTTGTGGTTGGTCGTGTGCCTTACTTCCCGGCCGCTCCTTGGGCTGTATTCAGGGTTTTCCTTACCTATTCCTGTTTTTCCTCCTCCCATGCTCCACCTATTTGTGTATCTGGGTCAGTGCTTTTGGCCTATCCTGTTTGGTGCTCAGGTGGGCCTCTGTCCATGTTCAGTTCCCTGCTTTTGGACTTCTCCGGTGTTCCGTTTTGGTACCAAGATCCTGCGATTTTCTGTGAGACTTCCTGCAGGCTTCGGTGTTGCCCTTTTGTGGGGGGGTTGTGGTCTTTTGGTCTGCCGCTCCTGCCTTTCTGGTTCCTTTTCTTGGAACCAGGTTTGCTGGGTTCCGGTCCTGGCTCTGGTTTTTCTTTGTTCCTTTTCCGGAACGGGTGTGTTTGCTTTCCTGCGGTTCACGTCCTGGGTAGTTTTCCTCTTGGATGCCTGTGGGACGCGTGCGTCTTTCTTTCCTGCTGGAGCTGGTTATCTTGCTCCTTTGGGTTGCGGGGTTGCAGTTTTTAGATTCGCATTTTGCGTCTTCGTATATGGTGCTAGTTTCTCGTCGTTTGTGTCGGCACTGGTGGGTTCCTTATTGGTCTCCCAGCTGCGTGTTTCGTCTCGGGGGCGGTGTGTGGTTTTCCTGGCGGTCCTTCCGGTTTTCCTATCACTACGAAGGGTCCTTCGGTCTTTGATAAGGTTGGCTTGTCTTTCCTTCGGGGTTGTTCCAGGTCTGTCGTCTGGGCTCGTGTCTTGTCACCTTGTATTGGGTGGTGCTGGCAGAGCCGCTCCTGCTTGCGTTCAGTGTTGCGGTTCCTTCTGCTCCGTTCCACGTGCTGTCCTGGGCGTTGTTCCCCTCTGGCCTGCTCTTGAGTTCTGGTGCCGTCCTGGTAGTTGACCTGGGTGGTCTATTTTCTTCTCATTTTGGTCTTTGTGTTGTCTGTGGTCTTGGTTTTTCGGTTAGGGCGCGTGGCGTCCACCTCCCGGTTCCTTCCCTGTTTTCCTTATCTGTGGTGAGGTAGCTCCGAGCAGCCGATGGGGCTCCCCCCTAGAAAACCAGCGTTGAATGTAATGAAACGCCATTTTCTGGGCGAGTCCCGGAGGCTCCCCAGCATTCCTCCCTTCCTCCGGTTGGCGGCATTTTTCGCGTATTTTGACATCCAGCCTAAGAACTGCCAGTTGGATCGCCGGCGTGGAGGGTCTGGGGCTTCCCCTTTCCCCCTCCCGGGAAGGGGGGGGGGGGGGGGTTGCGCAGATGGTGGCGCGGCGACGTGATGATGTCATGCTAGTTAGATAATTTTGTTTGGGGAGTTCTGTCCAATCGTTCGGCTTTTGGTAGCAATATTTTTAACAGAATAGGGGTTTGTTTTGGGGCGCCTACCTTTCTGGGTGCCTATCCTGGTCGATGGCAGACATAGAATGCTCCCAACCACAAGGGGGTTTCTATAGTTCATTGCTCCTCGTGACTCTCTGAGGGGGCCAGGTTCTGGCTCGTGGTCCCCGGTAGGCAAGAACTCCTAGCACTTTGACTGATGCCAGAAAGTTATACATATCCATTCAGCCTGGAGAGCTCCGGGGAGCCTCTGGGACTCGCCCAGAAAATGGCGTTTCATTACATTCAACGCTGGTTTTTTCACCTCCGTCCTGCTCATGCGTTGCCTGAGCCATCCTGGTCTTTGGATCGGGTGCTCTCTCTTCTCCTTGGTTTGTTGTGGCCCCCCTTGGTTCAGGATTGTTTCAGGAAGGCGTTATTGTTTTTTTTTTAGCCTCTGGTGATTGGAGTGGGGAGCCTCATGCTCTTTTTTCTTGCGCTGAGGTTCATGCTCGTTTGGCCTCAGTGGGTCATTTTGCTCGTTTGCAGCCGTCTCCTTCTTCTCTGGTGAAGAATGAGACTGGGATTCCGGAGGGTCCATAGGTTATTAGTGCTTGGTTGGTCAGGCTGGAAGTGCATTATGTTTTGTGTCCGGTGGCGGCTCTCTGCTTTTATCTGTCCGCCACAGGTTCTGTATTCGTCGATGCACTTTCAGTAGATCTGGTGTCCCTCGTTCCATATTCCAGGGCTCAGGTTATCTCGAGATGATTTCGTGGCTTAGTGTCCCCACAGCCCAGTCCTCAACCATGCCTCCATTTTGTTACACATTGCCAGGAAGCAGCCCATAGCAGCTGTCTTAACTACCAGGTACCTATTTACTGCTAGATGGACAGGGGCATCAGGGGTGAAAGAAACTCTGCCCATATGTTTCTGCCTCCTCCGGGGATCAAACCTGGAACCTTAAGACTACAAATCCCGAGCGCTGTCCTCTGGTTGTCCCGACTCAGCTGTCAGGGGTCTCTTAGGTCGTCTGCAGGATTATCACATCTAGCCAGCCTGAGGTCTAACTTCATGCACGTAATGTGTGGAAGGTCGCTTCTGAAGGCTTCCTACCACCCTCCCTCCCAATGGTCAGCGGTTTGTTATCAGTCTATGAACTGCCGGTATCAGTGCTTGGCCGCCTGGGCGGGGCCCTCTCCCCCCTCCTGGGGGTGGGGGGGGTCACCTACGAGCAGGCGTGCTGGTTGAGTGGATATTTGTTAGTTTGTCGTTTCTTCTTAGGAGGAGTCCTTGGGTTCTGTTCGGTCTTAGGTTGCAATGTTTTACCAGTTGGGGTTTGTAATGGTCCTCCTACATTTCTGGGCGATACCCCCGGTTGATGGCAGACATGACTGTTCTCTTACAAAGTGGAGTGTTCATAAGCTGTTGCTCACTTTGCCTATTTGAGGGACCCAGATTCTGGCTCGTGGTTCCCGGTAGGCAAAGAACTCCAATTAACTGATGCTCTAGACTAACATAATGGATATCAGTCCATTACCTGCAGGGAGCCTCTGTAGCTCGACCCAGAAAATGGCATTTCATTACATTCAAATGTTGGTTTTTTGTTTTGCTCTCTTACTCGGTGTGAAGAGAAACTTCATTCTTGTATGTTGTAGTAATTTAGGTTTTACTTGGCAGCTTTTGTGTTATGTCAAAGTTCCTACTTGATCAGTAATTATTCCTGGAGTAAGCTCCTTTTTTTTCTCTCAAATAGGAACACTTGTAAAGTAGCTGAATGTGATTCTTTATTCGTCTACACTACATTGCCAAAGGGAACTAAAGTATAAATAATATATAAACTTTATAAACTTTATCCATAATTTGTCATTTGTTGTAAACCCTCACAACACCACATCCTACAGCATAATGTCATCATTCTGTCTTGTCGGGTATTGAACTAGACAATATTAACTTTAACTATTATTAGACATGGATAGAAGCATTTTTCCCTATAAGAACTCTCCACATATTGATCTGAATGTCTGTTACAGTTTGGCTCACGTTGGGGCTGTACTCAATGGGTTTGCTGGAATTATAATTGGTGCAGCCCCATCCTTGGTCTCCTCGAGGTGGTTTCCGCCAAACGAGAGGACAACTGCAACAGGTAAGTGCACAGACCAGTCGTCATCAGTGCGGTAATCTTGCTTATTCATTCTACTATCAACCCATATGCACTTTGGTATACTGTGCATCTCTAACTTTTTCTGTCTTCTCTGCTATTAGATCTTTAAGGAATTATTTTATATTTTCAGTGCTTTGGCTTGAAGCACTTTAGCTGTTACTTTAACAAAATATATTAATGTTTTTGTATATAAAATGCACTTAATGACATAATTTTCCAAAGACATGGTAAGAATTTTAGATTAACTAAATTTGTGTACATTTCTGGGGGGAGCCACTTCGGCTCCTCAGAGCTATCCAGGCTGATATGTATGTCCCTAAACTTTGACATTAGTCAGTGTGAATGGCGTTCTAGGCCTACCGGGGACCACGGCCAGAACCTGGTCCCCCTCAGAGGCACAAGGAGCAATGGCCTATAGAAATTCACATGGGATTTGGAGCATTCTATATCTGCCATCGACCATGACAAGCACCCAGAAAGGTAAGCACCCCAAAACAAACCCCTATTCTGGTTAAAATGACTAAAATAGACCAAACTAGTGGACAGAATTCCCCAAATGAAAGAGCAAACGAGCATGACATCACACGAGCCGTGACGCATGTCTGCCGCAGCTCCCCCCCCTTTCTGGGAGAGGGAAGGGGGTAGTTGACCAAACCACACACTAGAAAGTGAAGAGACGACGATGTTTCGGTCCATCCTGGACCGTTCTCAAGTCGAAGGAGGAAGCCCCAGACCTTCTGTGCCGGCGATCCACTCGCCAGTTCTTCTGCTGATGTGTTTGGGCATGGTTGTGTGGCTCCAGCTCCAGTTCTCTCTGTTGTGCTGTGCATTGTGTCCAGTACTGCTCTTACGGTGGCGTGCGAGCTGGGAGTATTATTCCAAGGTACTTGGGCTGCATGTGCTTATGGTTACCTTCCCTGAGTGCCCTGTAAATACTGCCCTCGAGGCTTGGGGTTATCTTCCACAAGCCGCCTTGGGTCTACCTTTGTTGGTCTTTTGCTACTCGATGATTGACCGCCCCGAGTGTGTTGAAGGGGGGGGGGGGCGGCAGGGGGTTTCCTCTCGTTACCTTGGGGTAAGAGGGGTGGTTTTTGCACTGGTAGAGGTGCAGGGTACTGCGCAGCTAGTTTTCACCTATGACTGTGGCCAACTCTGTTCCTCCTGGATAAGTTATCCTCTTGCAGGGTTTTACTTTTATTTTTGTTTTTTGCCTGGTGGTGTAGCAGTTTGTTTGGTAGTCTTGGGTGCTGGTTAGCAGTACCCTGCCTGGGATTACCATTAACAGTACCAGTCTAGAGACCCTGGGAATCCCTGCGGGAGCGCACGGAGTCCGATGGATGCGACCCCCTGCGTCCTCTCTTGCTTTGTGAGAGTTTGAGAGTTGCTCAAGCATTGTTACTTGTTTTGACTCGATTTGCCCAATCTACTGATGACATTCTTCGGGTTCAGACGGCTCGGACGTTGCAGACTAGGTAAATTTAGGTTGCTGCAACGCACTAGGTTGCTTCCCCGGATGCCCTGCTTTGCTTATAAGGACCTGGACTTAGGAGTGTTGGTCGCTTCGGCCTTGATTCGGTCCGCAACCCTTCGTTCTTCCCCTGCTGTGGTTCATTCTGTCCTCCCCCCCATTCCTGCTTCTGGCTCCTAAGCGTCTGAGGGATTCGGGGTCAGGGCAGGGTTTAAAGGTTTCAGAGACTCGGGCTGTTGCGGGGACTGCCCCTTCTGGAGTGGTGACGGAGGCATTCGAGTCGGTTCCTCCACCCGTAATGCCATGGTCTTACCAATGGGCCCCCCTCTCTTCCTTCTTTTTTGGCTGCCCCGGCTTTTTCTTGTAAGGCGGGACTTTGGAGGATGACTCGCTCCTGGGGCCTGACGTGGAGATTCCCAGGGTTGGGGAGGAGCTGACTTGGGGGCCTTGGGCCTCATTGGTCCCCGTCTGGAATTTCCGATCCTCTGAAGGGGGCTTACTGTTACAAGGAGTGGGGTTGTGGGGTTTTCTTTCCCGCTCCTCTGTGTGCGAGTTAGATTTGGGTTCGGCTCCTCCCCGGGTTCGGTTCCATATCCCTGCGGGTCCTTCAGTGCTGTCCTTCCAGAGGTTTTTGGCTTCCCGCGTCTCGCCTGCTGAGGTGCAGGCCATTACAGCTTACTTCCTGCGCGACCCGGAATATGCCTCTGTAATGGATCAGTCTTCCTTCAGGTTTGGGTCTTCGTCTCCATACAGTACTAGGTTTGTTATGAGGTTCCAGAGTTGTCCTGGCTAGTGAACTGCCCGTTGTTGTCGTTGGATGCTTGGGGTGCTTTTTGTCGTACCCGCATGCTTGAGTGGCGCAAGGGGTTGACTATGGTCCAGGTTTACCTGAGGGGCGACTTTGAACACTCTAATGAATGCTTGTTGGCTCCTGCCCTTCTGTGGGATGTGGACGCAACTCGCCTTCATGTGTGAGTGCCTTCCCTGTCGGCTGCGCTTGTGGCTGAGGTCTTGAGTGCTTGTGGCTTGCTGGCTTTGGTTTTGCGTTTTTTTCCCTTCTGTAGTTGTCTTCAGATTAGCTTGTAGAGGCACTTCCATTCCTCGGTCTGGTGCCTTGATCTCGGCAACCCGTTCTCGCAAATTCGTAAAGTCAATATTGACTTATTAAATATGTGCATAGGTGATATATTAAACATAATAGATACCCTTAAAAAGATTCATAGAAAACACCGACCTTACCTAACCTTGTTAGTATCTTAAGATAAGCATCTTATTGCTTCGTAATTACAATTATTACTTAACCTATACCTATTATAGGTTAGGTAATAATTGTAATTACGAAGCAATAAGATGCTTATCTTAACATACTAAGTAGGTTAGGTAAGGTCGGTGTTTTCTATGAATCTTTTTAAGGGTATCTATTATGTTAAGTATGTCACCTATGCACATATTAAATAAGTCAATATTGACTTATTAAATTTGCGAGAACGGGTTGGATCTCGGTTGCTCGTGCGTCATCTGCGCTGTTGAAGCTGTTTGCACAGATCCTGCGGGATGAGGTGTCATGGGTTTTTTGCTGCGCGTCTCTTGTGTCAGCAGATTGTGCTCGCTTCATCCTTGGAATCCGATTGAGGGTCCCGGGTGGGTTCCTTCCGGGGGTTCGTGCCAGGGTTCGGGGTTCCGCTCATCGGGGTAGGCCACAGATGTCAGTTTCAGAGCCTGCACCGCCTTTGGAACCATCTCCGCCTGGTTGGCGCAGTGATAGCTTTGTGAGCAGGTTGGATTCTCATAAGGGGTGTTGGCCCTTTTGCGGTTCGCCCCATTGATGGGGGCGATGTGGGGGAGGCTTGCTCTATTCGCTCACACCTGGTCTCACGATTTGTGGGCGTTTTGGGTCGTTTCTCGCAGCCTGCAGTGGCTTTGGGTGGATCCTCCTCCTCCTCCGTGGGAGGGTGCGGGGCTGGTGGGGCAAGCCTCTTCTCCTGCACTCTGTCGGGTTGTCTTGGAGTGGATCCACTTGGGCGTGGTCGAAACGACGTTGTCTCTCAGGTTGGTCTCCTGCTTGTTTCCAGTTCCAACAAGGGGATGTGCAGACATGCGGTTCATGCGGTTCATTCTGGACTTGTCCCATCTGAATCCCAGAGTTTCTTGCCCCTCTTTTTGGATGACCACTCTGTCCCAGGTTCAGCTTCTGTTGGAGCTAGGCGCTTGGTGTCCCTGGACCTCTAGGACGCTTATTGACACGTCCCGATTCATCTGGGGTTCAGGGACTGGCTCGGTTTTGTTGTGGAGTTACCGCTTGAGTTGTCTCTCTTCGGGTTGAACCTGGCACCGCTCATGTTCACACGCCATATCCAGGTCGTTGTGGCCTGTCTGCGTCTCTTTGGTGTTCGGGTGTTGACCTATCTCGACGACTGGCTGGTCTGGGCTCCCGGTTGGTCCACATGTCTGCTCGCCAGGTGTTTGGTGCTTTCCCAGCTAGCCGGGGTTGGGATCCTGGTGAACTGGCAGAAGTCCTATCTGGTCCTCCTCCTAGTTTAGTTTGACTTCGTTGGCTGTTCTGGTTCCTTTGGGGACATCCCTTCTGCCTCTCTCGTGATCGCTGGGTTCATCCCCCCGGGGGCTTTGCATTGGCTGCAGTGATGCCAATACGTCAGGCTGCAAGCAGCCGCGTCCAACAGCCTGGTTGATCAGTCCAGCAACCAGGAGGCCTGGTCGACGGCCGGGCCGCGGGGACGCTAAGCCCCGGAAGCACCTCAAGGTAACCTCAAGGTAAGGTCGCCTGCTCTCTCTTCGGGTTTTTTGGGATTCAGTGCCATGGCGCCTACCCGAGCTCTTGCTTGATGTGTTCATGGACGCTTCGTCTCTTGACTGGGGCTTTGTGACCAGTGCTCACCAGGCCGGCCAGGGGCAGTGGTGTCTGTCCTTCTGTCGGACGTTCATAAGTTTGCTGCGCTTGCTGCCGTCTTTGGTAACTTTTTTTTTTTTTTTTTTTTTTTTCTTAAGGAAATTCTTGCATGAGCCTTAAGCCTCTGGCTGGTCAACTAAATCATTCGGGCATGGGGGTTTTTGGCGGTCGAACAGGGTTTTGGCTGCACGCTACCCTGTAAATATTCCTGAACCTAGTCAGGCCTGTGTCGCTTTGGTTCGGTGGTTGCAGCCTGTTGTCTCGACTTTTGAGTTGAGGTGTGAGCACCGACTGCCTCCTGGGTAAGTTCTTCTCGGTTTTGTCTTTGGTGAAGTAGCCCTGGGAAGCCGAAGGGGTTCCCCCTAGAAAACCAGCATTTGAATGTACTGTAATGAAATGCCATTTTCTGGGCGAGTCCCGGAGGCTCCCCGGCAATCGTCTCTTCCCTCCGGTCGGCGTTTTTTGTGTGTTTTTGATATTCAGCCTCAGAACTGATGGATGGATCACCAGTGCGGGGGGTCTGGGGCTACCCCCTTCCCTCTCCCGTGGAGGGGGCGAGCTGCGCAGACATGCGGCACGGCGCAGCTCATGTGACGTCATGCTCGTTTACTTGCTTTCACCTTTCTGGGTGCCTGTCCTGGTCAATGGCAGATATAGAATGCTCCAAATCCCATGTGTATTTCTATAGGCCGTTGCTCCTCGTGCCTCTGAGGGGGCCAGGTTCTGGCCTTGGTCCCCGGTAGGCCTAGAACTTCATTCACGCTGACTGATGCCAAAGTTTAGGGATATACATATCAGCCAGGATAGCTCCGAGGGAGCCTCCGGGACTCGCTCAGAAAATGGCATTTCATTACATTCAATGCTGGGTTTTTTGCTTTATTTCAGGAATCGGATGTACCTTCAACCAGTTAGGAAATGCTGGTGGTTTCTTCCTGGGTCCATGGCTTGTTCATTTGCCAAAAAATGAAAGCCATATTGATAGTGACGATATAGATAACTTGAGAAAAAATATACGAGACTATATGTGGATCTGTGAGTAATGAATCAAAGTTGCTCACACAGCTATGTATCGCCATGCAGTACTCCTGGCATGGCCATTTCCTACCTTTCCTGTTACGTCATCTTTCTATTTCTATATGTCCTCATTTATTAAACGTTTGTATCTTATTCTGTAATAATTATTTAATTCTGCCAAAATTTGATTAAGCTGTTTAAGCCATTGTCATTTTATTTCCCATGTTTTCTTTTTCAAACTTCCTCTGTCTCTCAATCTTTTAATATAATTAAATTTTCTTTAAGAAAATAATTTTCTTCTGTTTGACTGCCTAATTTTTACTTGACTAAGACCAGATGAAGTCTGCTATGACATGGCCTTAGATGCCATGGAAGACAAAATGCTGATGTAATATACACAGATTTTGCAAAAGCTTTTGGCAGATGTGACCATGGAATTATTGCACACAAAATGAGTGCAAAGGGAATTAGTGCCAAAGTAGCGATAGTGTCACAGATGACTGAAAATCTATGTACAAGGTTCAGATATCAGCGAACACAATGCTAGTGCATCTACACATCACACAACATGAGTTCATGTTCCTTTAGAAAACATTTTTGTGGAAAATGATTCAGGTTTATAATTGAGTGTCAGGAATTGGATAATAATAGCAGTGTTGTGGCTAAATTTAGTGATGTGCTTAGTATAATGAAGGCATCTTACTTTGTCGGGTCATGCCGTCTGGTCGTAACGTGTGGCTCTATACTGTAGAGCGATTTCATTACCACCCCCACCAGAACTACTTGGTGTTTGTTATGGTTTATCAAAATATAGATAGCTATATATGATGTGTGTGTAATTTCTGTGGAGAGCCCCTTCAGCTCCCCGGAGCTATACCGGGCTGATGTGTATATATTAGATCGTAGCAACAGTCAATCGAAGGAGTTCTAGACCTACAGGGGACCAGAGCTAGAACATGGCCCCCCTCAAGAGAGGCACGAGGAGCAATGGCCTAAAGACACCCCTGCATAATTGGAAGCAGTCTTTGTCTGCCATCTACCAGGTCAGGCACCCAGAAAGGTAGGAATTAAAAAACAAACTACTGCTGATTAAATAATTGCAAACCAAAAGCAAAACTAGCAACAGAACTCCCACTCAAAACCAAGGAAACCAGTATGACGTCACCACAAACGCCGCGCATCCATCTGCACACCCCCCCTCCCAGGGAGGGGAATGGAGGGGTCCCAGACCTCCGCGCCGGCAACTCTCCCCAGTTCACAAGCTGTTGTGAGGGCGAACGGTCGATCAACTCTGGCTCCATCCTTTGAGCAGTGCTGCAGTGCAGTGGTGGTGTTCTTTTTTGGTATCATGCAAGCCAGGAGTGATACAAGAGTACTGGGGCTGCATGCATCTAGGGCTGCCTTCCCTGGGTGCCCTGTAAGTACTGCCCTTGCGGCTTCAGGGTTATCTTCCCCGAGCCGTTCGGGAACTACCTCCGCGTGGTTCTGTTGCTGCTCGGTGATTGCCCGCCCTTGGGGGTTCTGCTGGGGTGGTTCTTGTTCCTGTATTCCCTTGGGTAGGAGGTAGTTTCGTCACTGGCAGGGGCGATAGGTACTGTGCAGCTGCCTGATATACGCACAGCAACTGGTTCTGTTCACCTGGAGACGTGTTTTTGCAGGGTTTTTCTTTTATTTTTGTTTTGTTTTGCCTGGCGGGGGTCTGCCAGGTGTGGCGGTAGGACCACTTGTATGATTTTGGTGGCCCTCCACTAGGTCCCCGTGCTTTACACGTCGCAGGAGTTCAGCTTTTAGTTTGTTTGCTTGGTAGCTCTGGGATAACCAGTTAGCAGTACCTCGCCTGGGCTTCCCTTAGCAGTTAGTCTAAAGGCCCTGGAAACCCCCTAGCGGCTCAGTGGTGTGATTGAAGAGATCCCAGAGTCCCACCTCACCTTGTGCGAGTTTGAAGGTTGCTCTGTCCCCTTGACTCAGGGTGACACTCACCGTCTTTGTCTCCGCCATGCTGCTTGTTGGGTCAATGACACCTTTGACCCGGAGTCCTGCGAGTGGTGTTCCTTGTTTGTACTCCAATTCACCCAGTCCACCGAGATTGTTATTAGGGTGCAAGCAGCTTCGGCATTGCATGCAAGGTTTAGGTTGCTGCAACGCGCAAGGTTGGTTGCCTTTCCGGATGCCCCGCAGCTGCCCTGCCGTGGTTATAGGGACCCGGACTTGGGGACGTTAGTCTCCTCGACCTTGGTTTCATCTGCACCCCCTAGTCATTCCCATGCTGTGGTTCATCCTGCTTCCCCCCCCCCCCCCCCCCCTGCTTCCGGCTCCCAAACGTCTGAGGGTTTCAGAGTCGGGGCAGGGTTTACCTGGTGGTGAGTCTCGGGCGGCTTCCGGGAATGCCCCTTCCGGATCGGCGGCGGAGGCATTCGAGCCTGTTCCTCCTGCTGGAGCCCTTGGGCCGTGCCAGCGGGCCCCCTTCATCCCGGCTTTTCCGGCGGACTCTGCCTTTTCTCCAGAGGCAGAGGGTTTGGAGGACAGCTCGGCCCCGGGTCCTGACGTCGAGGTTCCCGGGGCTGGGGAGGAGTTGACTTGGGGTGCTTGGGCCCCGTTTGACCCCGCTTGGGTGTTGGTACCCTAGTGGGGCTTGTTGTTACAGGGGGAGGGGTTTTCCTATCCCCCCCCCCCCCTCCCTCCCTGTCCCTGTACGAGTTTGATATGGGTGCGACTCCTCCCCGGCTTCGGTTCCGGGTTCCCTTGGGTTCCTCGGTTCCCTCCTTCCAGAGGTTTTCGGCTTCCCGCATCACATCAAAGGTGGTGCGGGAAGCCCTTGCGGCTTACCTCTTGCGAGACCCGGATTACGCCTCGGTAATGGATCCTTCTTCTTTCGAGTTTGGCTCCTCGTTTTCTTTCTGGATGCGTTACAAGGTGCCGGAGTCTTCCTAGTTGGCGGACTGCCCTTTCTTTTCGTTGGGGGCGTGGCATTCGTTCTGTCGGACCCGTGCGCTTGAATGGCGGGAAGTGACTACGGTTGTTCAGGTTTACCTAGGGGGCGAATTTGAGCACCTCAATGCGTGCTTGTTCGCCCCCGTACTTCCTTGTGATGTCGGTCAGATTCAGCTTCACGCGCAGGTTCCCTCCCTTTCGGCGTCCCTGGTGGCCAAGGAATTGCGCGCCCGTGGGCATTTGGCTTCGGTCTTGCGTTTCTTTTCTCTGCTGGAGCTGTCTTCGGACTGGCTCGGCGAGGATGTGCAGGAACTGGGATCTGGGCCGATGTCCGGTGTGTTTGCTTCAGCAGCTCGGGCGTCGGCTGCTTTGTTAAAGTTGTTTGCGCCGATTCCGAGGGAGATTGTGTCCCTGTTCTTTGCTTCTTGTCTCGCATGCCGACAGGCGGTGCTCGTCCACTCTTTGGAATCGGCTTGGGCCCTGGCTCTTAGATTTTCGTCCCCTTTTTGTCCGTTGCTGTTTGCAGAGTCTGCGGTGGTGCATTTTCTGCAAGCGGCTTCATCTAGTTGCCGGCCTATGTCGAACTTGTTGGTTCTGTAAGGGGGGGGGGGGGGCGTGGTGGTCCTGCCCGGAAGGGTTGTGCCAGGTCTCGGGGTTCCTTTGGTCGTCGTAAGCCAGTAGTGCCAGATTCGGGGCCGGCACCTCCTCTGGAGCCGTCGGCGTCTGGTCGGCGCAGTGATCGCTCTGAGCGTCGGTTGGGCTCTCGTAGGGGTCGTCAGCCCTTTCGCGGGTTGCCCCGTTGATGGGGCGATAGGGGGGAGGCTCGCGCTGTTTGCTCTCGCCTGGTCCCACGATTCGTGGGCATTTCGGGTCGTTTTCTCCGGCCTGCGGTGGCGTTGGGTCGCTCCTCCTCCTTCGGGGGAATCAGGACTGGCAGGGCAAGCCTCTTTTCCTGTGCTCTGTCAGGTCATCCGGGAGTGGGTTCGCTTGGGTGTGGTCGAAACGACAACATCCCTCAGGTGGGTTTCCCGCCTGTTTTCAGTTCTGAAACAGGACTGTGCGGATCTGCGATTCACACTGGACTTGTCTCGTCTGAATCCCTGAGTCTTTTGCTCCTCCTTTCGGATGACCACTCTGTCTCAGGTCCGGCTGCTTTTGGCGCCGGGTGCCTGGATGATGTCTCTGAACCTCAGGGATGCATATTGGCACGTCCCGATTCATCCGGGGTTCAGGAACTGGCATGGTTTTGTCGTGGGGCGACAAGCTTACCGCTTTCGTTGCCTTCTATTCGGCTTGAATCTGGTACCTCAAGTGTTCACACACCTTACCTGGGTCATGGTGACCCGTTTGCGTCTGTTAGGGGGTTCAGGTTCTGGCTTACCTCGACGACTGGCTGGTGTGGGCTCCCAGCCAGTCCGTGTGTCTGCTTGCCAGGGATTTGGTTCTTTCCCAGCTCGCCAGGTGAGAGTTCTTGGCGAACTGGAGGAAGTCCCATTTGGTTCCCTTTCGGGTTCGGACTAGGCTGGGTCTTGTGTGGGACTCTCGGACCGCTTCCTTGTCTCTCCCTCCTGCGACGCTGTTGCGGCTACGGTCCCGCCTCCGGGTAGTTTTGGAGGGCACTCGGGTCACGCTTCTGTTGTTCGAGCAGCTGTGCGGGAGCCTGAACTTTGTCGTGCTGGTCTACCCATCGGGTCGGATCTGGCTTCGGTAGATGTTCTGGTTTCTTTGGGGTCGTCCCTTCCGCCGCTCTCGCGATCGATGGGTTCGGATCCCGGGAGCCTTGCGTCGGCTGCTGCGTTGCCGGCTTCCTCTGTGGGTTTTTCGGGGTTCTGTGCCGTGGCGCCTCCCCGAGCCCTCGCTCGATGTGTTCACGGATGCCTCGTCTCTCGGCTGGGGTTTTGTGACAAGTGCTCACCAGGCCGGCCAGGGTCGGTGGGGTCCGTCCTTCTGTCGAGCTCACAGCACGGCGCGGGAGTTTGCGGCGGTGTGGCATTCGCTTCAGAGGATTCGGGTCGCTCGAGGAGCAACGATCCGGCTCCATTCGGACTGCTCCCCGGTGGTTCATTGCCTGAACCGCGGGGGTTCGA